GATATAATAAATTATATTATTATAAAATAAAGTATAATAATACTCAGTAGTAATACTTTAGTACCAGCCAGTGCGTTTCAGGAGCCACCCCCATCAGTGCTTATAGATTTGAAAATCTTACATGGACTCAGGGATGCTCTTTAACAAAACAATCTGCATTTAAATGTGTAATAGAAATGCAAAATAAACAATCGGTGGTTTTGTTTGTGTTAGCAGCATTGTGCTGAAGCCCCCCTCAAATTGTTTTCATTGTACAGAGCTGATGTTTTACAAGATGTTTTAACAAGAGCGAGGGGAGTTAAATATAATTAAAATGTTATCTCTCTGTACGCAGCACGAAGGATTATGGACAAGCATACAATTACCATAACTAGTTTCAGTAAACAAAATTTAAAATGTATGTTACTCAAACTTGTGAGCAGCAGGGAGTATATACCTGTATGGGCAATGGAATTAAATGGCTGTTGGGTATAGTGGGAAATGCAAGTGGAAAGCCAGGCAAACTCCGGGTGGCTCTGTCGGCTAATGAAGGGGGGGGGTCCGCTGACGTCACCAGACTCCTCCCACCTTCCCTTCATTAGCCGACAGAGCCACTTGAGGAAGGAGTCCAGTGACATCGATGTCCGTGATGTCACCGGATCGCCGACGGGACTCCCGGAAGCCGGCGGAGGTGAGTGTTTTCATTAGCGATCAAAAGCATTTTAATCAAAACAAAAATTTTAACGATTAATTGCGGAATTAATCGTTCATTTCCACAGCCCTAATTATATATATATGTATGTATATATGAGAGAGCGAGACAGACATATTTACACACACACACACACACACACACACACATGTATACACACACACACGAGAAAAAGTATTAGGCAGAAGTGAAAAAAAGCTTTAAAGTATGCTTTTGGAAATAAACAATAAAAATATGTATTTTTATTGTTTATTTTTTTTATCAATTTACACAATGCAAAGTAAGTGAACAGAAGAAAAATCTAAATCAAATCAATATTTGGTGACTGCTCTTTGGCTTCAAACCATCATTCATTCTAAATGTGCCCATACACCTTACAATTATCTGCAGATTTTCTGTGGTCAGATGGAAAAAGTGCAACAGATTGGCCCAGGTGGAGATTACTCCATCCACACAGATAAGTGTAGATGGAGGAATCGGTTGCACCTTTTCTATCTGACCACAGAAAATCTGCAAATAATTGTAAGGTGTATGGCCAGCTTTTCTCAGATTGATACCATGCACTGAAGCAGCTACAGTATGTCACTAAAGCTGGCCATACAACAGTAGAATTTTCTACAGTAGAATAGTAGACTATTTCAAGTATTATTGAAATAGTCGTTCAATTTGCTAATAGTTAATGGGGTTAAATCGACAAATGATTTTGCACAAACTCAGGGATTTTGTAGGATTAGTCAGATATAGGATTAACCAATTATACCACACAGGTGCTAATCATCATCAATTGCATATGTAGGTTGAAACACAGTCATTAACTGAAACAGAAACAGCTGTGCAGGAGGCTTAAAAAACTCTGCTGCTAAGGGGAGGTTGTGGAAGACAGTTTCGTGTCACAAGGTATACATAATGGTAAAATGGAACACAGCAATAAGACACAAGGCAAAGATTTCAAAGCAGATGGGGGTTTCAAGATGTGCTGTTCAAGCTCTTATGAAGAAGCACAAAGAGACGGGCAACGTTGAGGACCGTAGACGCAGTGGTTGGCCAAAGAAACAAAGCCCATTTCCATCTTTGTAGAGGTATTTTTAAAGAAACATATGCTGGCAATGAACACCGTGGAAACAAGGCTAAGCGACTCAACTATGCATGAAAACATTGGAAAAAATATGGCAGCAGATGCTCTGGACTAATGAGTCAACATTTGAAATATTTGGCTGTAGCAGGAGACAGTTTGGTCGCTGAAGGGCGGTACAATAATGAGTGTCTAGAGCAGGGGTGCCCATAAAGTCGATCGCGTAGCGATCAGTGGTAGATCGCGATAGCCTCTCCTCCAGCCTGTGGTGCTTCTCTGGATCCCGGCTGCTCTCCCCATCTGTATGCAGCAGGGGTTCCGAGAAGAAATGAAGGAACCGCTGCAGCCAGCGGCGGGAGCTGCTGTCACAGAACTAACGCCGAGCGGTGAGGAGAAACAGCCGGCGCCTCTCCCCTCACTGCTCGGCTTTAGTTCTGTGACAGCGGTTCCGTCCCCCCGCGGCTGCAGCGCTTCTTTCACTTCTCGGATCCGCCGCTGCCTCTGCCCGGGAGAGCAGCGCGAATCCAGAGGAGAAGCTAGGCCCCGTTTGCATGGTCGAGCGGCAGTGATATGTTCCGATCCTCTGTACACTGGAGGGATCAGCTGATCACTCCAGTGTTTGTAAATAACTGGGGACACATAGTACTATGTGTCCCCAGTTATAAATGAACAGTCGCGTCAGCCACACGAGCACCGCGGGAGGACAGGACGCACTGGAATGTAAGCCGGCCGACTCCCTGCGTTCAGGGGCGGGAGGGGGTGTGGGGTTGTATTGAAGTCAATGGCACCGCAGCCATACCCGCCGCCCACAGTGTGATCGCCGCAACCAGAACGCAGGCACATTAGTGCCTGCATTCCGGTCCAGTGCAATCTGCAAAAATAGTGCTAGCAGCATTTTTCTGGAGTGTGAGTGTATGTGTAATAAATATACATACATACATACATACATACATACACACACACACACACACACACACACACACACACACAAAAACACCAATGGAATCTATATACTGTACCTAAAAGCATTGATGGGCTATCTACAAAATCAATTGTGGTAGTCAACACTCCATTCCTTCTAAATGAATAACATGTACAACAATTTGTATGATACAGATCAGCCTTTCTCAACTAGTTACTTCTGGCTTCCTCAGGGTGCCTTAAAATTGCTTTCCATGAAGCAGGCATTCCCTGGGAAAGACAATCTAGGAACTGTGAAATCCATTCAGAAAGGAATGGAGGTTTATCTTTGTCCAGACCTGCTCCGCCTTCTGCCCTCTGCTACAGGTCCGGATGTAAAGGTTTGACTCTGATGTGATGGGGGACTGAAGACTCTGATTGAAGGGGTAACTGATATAAAAAAGGAACCCTAATGTAAAGTGGCGAATTCTGATATGAAAAGGGGACTCTAATGTAAAGGGGGACGCTGATGTGAAGAGGGCTACTAATGTGAAGGGGGGACTCTGCTGTGAAAGAGGGGGCATCTGATGTGCAAGAGCCTTCTAGTGTGAGAGGGGGGACTCTGGTGTGCAAGGAAGAGGCTCCTGATGTAAACGGGGACTGATGCAAAAGGGGATGTTCCCAATTTTATTTCTATTTTTTGCGTAGGGTCCCCCATTAAAATCCATTACAGACCCCTATCTGGATTTAAGGGTCTGGTATGGTTTTTGGAGGACCACACAACATTCTTTACATTCATGGCTTGTTGTTTACATTTTAGACTAGGGCGCCTTGAGATTGTGTATACTTTTAAAGGGTGCTGCGACTGCAAAATGTTGGGAAACGCTGATATAGATAACTATATACAATACCATACTATTGAAAGAATGTTGTTTATGAAAAAGGGAAAGTGGCTGCCATATGGGAAATTGCAAATTCGAGTGACTGGCTCATGGTGTATCAATGAGGTACTGCCAATGCTCTTGTGCATCTCAATGAATCATATCTACAACAAACTTTGTAAGAGATGTCTGTGAAGGTTCTCATTCATCCAGGTCATGGTATAGCTGTAAAAAATAAGTCAGTCAACGCAAGACTTATTTTTTTACAGTAAGAGATTGACAACTAAAAACCATACTGCTGGCCGACTCCCTTCTGGAGGGGGGGGAAAAAAAAACAAGGTGAGTGGCTGCCGTAGGGGAGCTTGAAAAATCAGACAAGTGGAATGCATCCTGATTGACCACTGAATATTTGATGCACAATTCCCCTTGATATTATACAGCCTTATGAGAGGAATGAAAAAAACCCAAACAAATGATTTTCAGATCAACATACAGTATATATAACCTAAGTGGAGAGCATAATGTTCTTAAATACATTTTATGATAACCTTTTAACCATTTTTGCTTTGCGATTAATAGTCACCTTTGCTTCTCTGGGATCATTTCAAGTTCAGTACAGTATCATTTTGGAGGTTTTGTGTCTTCTTGAAATCACCTAAAAAGGTTTCTAATACAATTTTTATGACACAACATTAGGTGTCTAAAGTTCAGTTCTAATACAATTATGCGGGGGGAAAAAGAATACATTTATACAAACCAAGTACATATATATTTATATATAAAAATGTTTATTGTACTTCAAATACACAAACTCAACAAATTCATTGTCCCAAAATGAACCTTCAAAAAAAGACATGTCTAACGCTGACAAAGTTACAGGAACTACTGTGATGAGTAATCCCCCCCCATCTTCTGCAAAGTAAATGAAAACTATGTTTGGGAAAAAAAAACATTTATACAAGAAGATAAAGTCAGTTGTGTCTGACAGCAACAGATGAAGGCCTCATTCTAGGTCCTGAACTTGCTGATAATTCTGAAAGGGAACAAACCCCCCCCCCCAAAAAAATATGCCTTTCAAATCCAACAAATGAAAATGGGCGTGGAGAAAAACACTTGTTCAATTCCAGCAGAGTATCTCCCAGTCTGGTATGGACAGTCCAAAAATACTTTCAAATGGTTATTGCGATCCAAAAACATTATGTGGCCGGGCTGTTATGGTACCACACTTTCCAGTCAAACTGACATGAAGAAATCAGACTGCTGCAGATGATGCGACTCATTTGAAAATTCTAATGAAACACCTAAGACAGTTGTGATACTTAGATTTCTAGAGCGTTGGACAGATAACCATTTTCTAGCGTAATTCTGCTCTTTATTTAATTTTGTTGTTTTCTCCTTGTGTACATGAAGTTATTTGTTTTGCTTTTCTTTTGCAGTTGCTTTTAGGATAATTACCCAAGACAAACCTTGCGGTGTTGCTCATGCAGTTGTTATGAACAGTTGGTATGAATGGACATATATTTAAGTAGGGGATGTCCCGTTATTTTGTGGTTCTTCGTGCAGGCTCTGAGGCAGTTGGTGGAGGCGGTGGGCCACGTCTATCAAGATCGTCTACATAGGACACAATAAGTTTACGTCTCTCCTCGGGAATGCAGTCAAGTACTAGGTAGCGTTTGTCATTTTGAAGAACCTTTTCAACGTCCTTTAGATGCTGGTCAGATTCTTGAACTAATTTCTTTGACCTAGAATAGAAAGTTTGAAATTGTTAGTTTGATACAAATCTTTTGAAGTGGAATTTTCTTCTTTTTTTTGGCAGCAAAAGCAGGGTTTGATCCCACACTGTCATTACCACTGTCTAGAACTGCTACTACTGTGGCAACCACAACTCTACTATGAGCTGAACCGACCCCTAGGGGTGTATTCGTCATAATCAATGCACTCAGAGGGACTTGATAACCTATTACAAAGCAAATTCTCCAGAGGAATACATGGAAAAGATACTCCAAAGAGTAGAATCAGGAAGTGCTGCTAACAGCACTGCCCAAGCTTTCCTGACCATGGAGACAGACAACATTATTGACCTGGCAAGGAATCATATGCTCCCTTACTGCAGTCTAAAAACATTCCGTACTACAGTTATACATTCTGTAACCCCTTCATGACTGAGCTTGTTTTTAGTTTCTGTTCATTAATGACTGATGCACTTTTTATATTTTTGTTAGGAGAGCTGGACAGGGCTGTAGAAGGTCCTTAACCCATCAGCAGGATCAGTATCTGTTCCTTTGTGCAACGAGGAACAGGATGAGTACTGACAGAGCCCTACAAAATGACCTCCAGCAGGCCATTGGTGTGAATGTCTCTGACCAAACAATCAGAAACAGATTTCATGAGGGTGGCCATAGGGCCCGACATCCTCTAGTGGGCCCTGTGCTCACTGCCCGGCACTGTGGAGGTCGATTAGCATTTGCCATTGAACACCAGAATTGGCAGGTCCGCCACTGGCGTCCTGTGCTTTTCACAGATGAGAGCAGGTTCACCCTGAGCACATGTGACAGACGTGAAAGGGTCTGGAGAAGCCGTGGAGACCGTTATGCTGCCTGTGACAGACGTGAAAGGGTCTGGAGAAGCCGTGGAGACCGTTATGCTGCCTGTAACATCGTTCAGTATGACCGGTTTGGTGGTTGGTCAGTGATGGTCTGGGGAGGCATATCAATGGAGGACGGACAGACGTCTACAGGCTAGACAATGGCAACCTGACTGCCATTAGGTATCTGGATGAAATCCTTGGACCCATTGTCAGACCCTACGCTGGTGCAGTGGATCCTGGGTTCCTAACACATTACCCAGTCCAGTATACAGTAGATATCCAGCATGATATCTTTCCCCATTGAGATCTGATGTGTTTTCAAAGTATTCCTTTAATATATATATATATATATGCACGTTTTTGGCCACGCGGTTTTCTGTCCACGAAACACACGTTTGATGCGCGTTTACTAAATCTAATATGCGGAAGTCAATGGATCCGTGCGGAAATCCGCCCCAAAGAAGCTCAAGTACTATTTTGAGCATTGGCCGTTTTCAGCACTTCAATCAGCGCTGAAACACGCCCAGGTGTGAGCCCAGCCTTACAGTTTACATCTGTACAGTTACAAACCTGTATGTAATAAATTTTGTTTCCTTCAAAAGCGTCCGGAAGTCAGCTTTGGCAGTTATGTGCTTATCTCGGATATATTCTTCAAATTCTCTTTGCCTTTTCTGCAAACACAAAAAAGTAATATATAGATCATGGATGGATTAGCATGGTTAGACAACTTTAAAGGCTAATGGAGCATTAAGGCAACACACATTCTACATTCACATTGTAAAAATAATCAGCAAGTAAATCACACTTTTTGCTTGCTGTACCATTTTCTCATTAGGGCTATTCATAAACCAATTTACTGGTTTTCCCGCAAATAGCTATCCCTGCATCTAACAAGTTCAGTTCAGTGTTTACTAAGCTACAGCTTAGATTACAACATAAACCTCCAAAGACTGTGCTATTCCCATTCAGTCTAAGCAGACTTGCATCAATAGGAATGAACAGAAAAGTGCAATCACTGTGCTGCAATACAAGGCAGGATACACTGCATCTATAATTAGCAAATAAGGCTGCCCCATCTACAATGTAAATTAAATGAAAAACTATTATCGGGAAACAAGGTTTTGAAGACAATAATGCACTGTTATGGTTATATAAATAAACATGAAACCGGCAGAATATATATGAGAGCCACTGCTATTGTTGACTCGTTTTCAAAAGTTGCAAACCACAGACAAGTCATTCGTATAAAAGTCATATATCCCAAAACGTCACTAGTTGCATACTCATTAGAGGTCAATGAATCACTGACATTGAAGAAGGGCTAGTGAGATTTTTGTAGGCAATGTAAAATGTGTTTTGTTTGAGTTGATTAGGGCACACAGGAATTAAGAAACAGTTGGATCATACTGCCACTTTCACGAGGTCAGGACACAGGCAAACAGAAAAATTGTTAACCAGCCCCTGTAAAACCCAGCATGCCTCTGTTTTGTGAGAAAGAAATACACAGGGCCAATAACACGTAGGCAGAGTTATCTATCTATTTGCAGGGGCCTGCAGTAATACTGGGCAAAAGGGACTGCCTCGAAGGAGGCCACAATCAGCCATAGGACTCTTATGCAGAAGTGTAGCGTCAGTTGACTGCTGGTGCCCTAGGTTGGAAGTGGCTAGTCTGAATTTTCTGCTAAGGAAGAAAAATCCATTGCTTGAGCTGTGTTTAGGACCAGACATTCTAAGCGAAGAGTCAGTTTAGGCGCTGATTTTTGAAGGTTAAAGGATACACTCGAACCTCTGCAAGGTCTGGATGGTTAGGTCTACAACCAGAACCTGTGATCAGGTGGTCATCAAACAATCAGAGTGCAGTGAGGCTATCTGGGCTGTTCTACAATTTTTTGTTGGCTAATCTCCAATCCTCCTGTAGGTGTATAACCCAACAGAGTTCCTGTGTTCCTCAATGGACAAAAAAAGAAAAATTCTCACTGCAATTGCCAATTGTGCCTTTTATTACTGCATTTTTTTCATCAATTTGTTAAAGCAAAACCAACAAAGGAAATATCTGTATAGGCAAACCTTTTATTTTAGTAACCTAAAATATTCAAAACTAAAGACAACACAAGTATTTGAAGAAAACCTATCTTACCCGATCACTGGAAGAAAACTTTATAAACCGAGGGTCATCTTTTATAATTTTCTTAACTTCTTTCCAAGTTGAAGTTAAAGTAATCTGGAGGAAAAAACAAAAACAAAAACTGATGTTAATAAGGCCGTCAGACATGTAAATTCTACTGAAAGGAATAACATGGCTATGTGAAAGGTAAACAGCCAGAAAGGCCTGTAAGCTGACATTGTTAATATCAGTATATACATTGCTCATAGTTGGGAGCCTTGAGCCCTAATAACATGACTTACTGTATACGTTTCATCCAGGAGCTGTCGGAAATGTTCTCGCTTCTTCTTTGTAAGAGCATCAATGTGCTCATTGAAAAGTTTTTCTTTTTCTTCTCTTTCAAGTAGTGAACCAGATTCCCATCTGTGATCTTTTCGTAACGTCCTTCTGGTGTCTGACCACGAAACGTCTGAAGATCGAACCTGTGGAGGCAAGAAAAAAAAAAACACAGGTATATTCTAGTAATTAAAAAAAACTATAGATTCTGACCTGCACATATCGAATCAGGCCATACCAGTGCACTTGCTGAAGATGAGCACCAAGTATGAGGGACTTTGCCTATTATAATGCATTATCGGTTGCACTGTTTCAATAAACACTGTATAACCTTGACTCACTGCAAGTATCTTAACCCCTTCATGACTAAGCTTGTTTTTCATTTCTGTTCGTAAATTACTTACACACCTTTGACATTTTTGCTGTGCGATTCTTCCACGTCAATAATATACTTTCTTACAAAGTGCACCCACACATATTATATTTTTTTTTTTTTTTGAGGACATATAGGGTTATATATTTATATCACATATGTGTACCTAACGCCTCACTTAGGACAAAACATTAAAATTGAGGAAAAAAACATAAAGAAAAACACTTTTTCACCAGTTTTGTTTTGTAGTATTTTTTAGAAATATAGCACAGCTAAAAAAATGCATCAAATACATTCATTTATTTGTCCTTTATTTGGAAAAACCTCACATCCCTAGGATTAGACATTTTTCTGTAGCCTTTTTTCTGTACTTTTCAACCTGTCACACTTAGGGACAGTGACATACTTTGAACATCACTCTGGAGGGTGGCTACTTTTGTTCCCCATGGCCACTGTGTGTGTTGTAAAATAGCCACTGCTCCAAATGCGCATCTGTGATGAACCATAACTTTAATACAAATTGGCTGACAAAACATGAGATTGTTGTCCATCACGGGAGTGAGATTGGAGTGATGGCTACTTCACAACACACACAGGGACCAAGGGGAACAGCAGTAGCTACCCTCCAGAAGGAAGGACAGTGTCAGCATGAATACACAGATGATTTGAGGTTCCGCAGCTGAGTGACACACAAATAAGGTACAGTATTGTTAATAGTAAAAGGTACTTGAATGCATTTTTAAAATGTAACTACCGTACTGAGTTTAGTGTTACTTTAAACCAGAATCCCTTCAAGTCGATACATTTTTAGAATATGCTTTTTTTCAAGCTAACATTTGCTGTACATGCTTGGCATTTAGATTTTATATTAAAAGTTAAAGCATTATCTATTCAAACAGATAAAGGCCACACAAGTCCAATCATTACCATATCAGACAGGAGGGCTTTAAAATTCTGGATGGCTTCCTCCCGCTTGTGCTGCTCTCGCTCTCTATCAATCTCCTTGGTCTGTTCAGATCTGGCTTTCTGCACCTCCCGTTCTCGTTCCCGTAAACTGGCCTCAATACGAGCCTGCCTTTCTAGCTCCTTTTCTTTTTCAGTATCCAAATTCTGCAGAGAGACATGAGAATGATCCACATTACAATCAGCTAACAAAAAAACAACAGTTAAAGAAACCAGTAACATTAATAAAGTTGATGAAAACCATTCAATGCCATCCTTTTTTTTTTTTTTTAGCATTTCTGCACCCATCTGGAAAATGTACTTATTCTTTTTTTTTTTTTTTATCATTTCTGCACCCATCTGGAAAATGTACTTATTCAGCACAAATAAAGGCAAACATGCAACAATTAGACAAATTATTTGATAAAATAAACATCTTTCAATAATAGACTACCCAGTCACTGATGCTATGACATTATGGACTTTCCTCATGCCCCCATGTCAGGGAATGTGCTCAGCGACTGACTGTCTAAGGCACTGAGACCTGCATTGTGGGAGGTAGAAGTGAAAGTAATTTGCTACCCCACACGTGGATATGATATATCTATCTATATTTATATAGATATCTATTATTTAACTGGGGCTCCAGTAGGTGAACCAGTGTTCCCAGTGTTTAAAGGAAACCAACACTAGCTGAGCTTTCCTGATTTGCAAAAGATTACAAGAAGCTAGAATAAAGAGAATTTTAATTGTTTAATAAATAACATGATTCGAGGGTGTAAATCTACAATTTGAATGCAGTTTAGATTTAAAGTAAAAAGAACAGATCCTTTTACAGAATTTTTGGAGAATTACATTGAACAAAAAGCGCTTATGGTAAGAATAAAGCTGCGGTAACATACTTTCACCAACTTTTCGATGTACTGTTTGAAAAGTTCTTCTCGGGCCGAGGAGCTCTCTACAGCCTTGTATCTGGGATCCCCCTCAAATTTGTCTTTTACTTTGCTCCATCGAGACTGTGCATCTAAATGGTGATTTGCTAACAGCTCAAAGAAGTCATTTTTCACCTGAAATAAAACACCCCACATTTCAGCAACTCATAAATAAGACTTTTATAAGAGTTTATCTTGTTCTTTTAAAAAAATAAATCACCAACTTCATCACAAATGATCCTTTTACCTAGATTCTGCCAAGTAGGAAATAAATACATTTGCCATTGTGAATTTGAACCCCTTTAAAATATGCATTTATCCTTACCCTTACTGGTATATCAGTAGAAAATAATACAATGCGATAGTTTGACAACTACTCAGTCATGCAGCGCTGTACCAAAATTTTTTTCATATACTTGTCCCCTTGCAACATACTGCCGCCCTCCTTGACTACCCTGGAGAGAAGTGACACTCATGAGTAGTATGTACCACAAGGGGCTTTCTATGTTCCAAGGACAAGGGATTTTTCTGAGGAAGAGAGTGGAAGCCCAGCTTCAGAAACCAAGTTAACATGGACTGGAACGAGGGATCCAGGGGAAGGTGCACTGTTCTGTGGAGTGGCCCAGAGATAAAAAAGGATCAACTGAAAGGGGAAGCGGGCAAAGGACTAGCCTGTGGGCCTAAAAAGGGGGCTCTCTCTACCTGCCTGTTGGGGATGCACACTACCCAAATAACTGCCTGGATGCACAATCATCACCTAGATGCATCTATTTGTACGGTAGGGGCACATCATCATGCAGAGAGCTTCTCGGAGGGGTTAACTGGCCTCCGACTTCGAGCCCTATAGGCTGGGTTAGAATCAGGCCCTGAAAGCCTGCATGCACCTATCGCAGAAGTAGATGAAGGAGAAGGGTGGGACACAGCGGATCTCTCCATAAACTTCTTACATTGAGGTAGGAGTATGTTCTGCCTCCCGTGGCAAACCATATTATGGTTGGGTTGAAGAAATGACATCCCTCAAGGGCAAGAAAATCAGAGGCTCTTTGAATGTGCCACCAGAATCCCAGCAGTGTAACCAGAGTGCTCTTTGCATTTGTATGGACATCAGACTCAGGCGGGACAAAAGTTTAGGCGCTTGTAACAAGCCATCACAATTAAAGCATAAGGCTCACACACTGAATCAAACAAGGGTGGGGGTCTACCCTGGCAGTAGAGAGATCCTTTTTAAGCAATCTAACCCATTCTACCATGTTGAAGGCAAACTAGGACTTGAAGTGTATTTCCACCTCAGAAGCCAAATTTGAGAAACCCCCACTACATGCTTATATTGTGTTCCAATTTCACTATATGTTTATAATATGTTTACTGTTTAACCCAAAGTGGGGAAAGAGCACCATTTAACAAACTCCGCCTCAAAGAGGAATAGTCCTAATACACCCTCAGTTGAGGTACAAGGCCCTTCAGGTTGTTTCTGGTCTATACAGAGGGATACTTCGCATGGCAGGTACAGTTAAAGGTCTGTAGGAGATCTAAAAGACTATAGGCTGATTCTCCAATTGCAGGAGAGTTAAGTACTTCATCATTAAAGTCTGAAACGACCTCATGTAGTTCTGAGGTGACTCAAGTGCAGTTCCTTAAGAGATGGGCTGTTGGGATTCTGAGTCAGATATGTTCACAGGGACGTGTGGCCCAGCCTGTTCTAAGGTTTTGGGAAGGCCATAGACCGGATGAAGAGCGCTTAGAGCATCTGCATTCAGTTTCTGGTGAGGAATTGGGTGAATTTTAATCATAGGGTCACTGGATTGAGGGCATCAGTCCACTCAGAGGATACCGAGTAGATCACCATGAACTGTTAGGGGAGTATGGGCTGGGGTCACTCATAGTAGAGGGACTGTCCTTCTGTGTCTATGGGAAGACATGTTGTGTTTGTATAGTTGTACTGCAACAAGGCCCAAAGTGAGGCAGTGCATCAGGTACTCACAAACCCAGGCAGTTAGTGCTGCTGTGTTTGGAACTGGCGAGGTTACTGTAGGCAGGCAGGGGGGACAGACATGAGGTTTGCGTGCTGCTTGTAAAAAGGTGGAAATCCCGCGATTGTACGATAATCGTGCAGTGTATGGAAGGCGTGCAACCGTTTCTACAGTACGGTCGCACGTCTTCCGTCGAACCAGCATGCTAGAAAAACCCGCCGGGAATCGTACGAGTTAGTGGCCTGCTGGTTCGACAACTGCCGAACGGGCCAGTGCGCGCCCGTTTGCAGTCATCGTAAGTCCGCCCTTCATTACAGTCATCGGAAACCCGCCCCTCAGGGGGGCGGGCTTGCGATGATCGCATGTACGATTTGCCTGTCCAAGATGGGCAGATCGTACTTTTTTTTTTAGTACTTTACAACCCTCGCAAGACAAAAGTCTTGCGAGGGTTGTAAAGTGTATGGGCACCTTTAAGCAGGAGCACTTTTCTCTGCTAAGTTAAATAGAGCGAGCATGCACGTGTGTGTATGCCACACTTCACCCAGATGATGAGATCAGCGCTCAGTTCCTCAGTGTTAACACTTTGCGCAGTGAAAAGATACACTGCAAAACACCAGATATGACACGCCAATGTCAGGCTTAAGAAATGCCAATCCATATAGCTGTTATGTAGAGACCAGCTCAAGCAGTGATGTAGTGAGGAATCTTGACTGTCGTTAACAGAAGAAGAATACAAAAGAAAAAAAAACTAAAGAAAAAAACAAAATCTAAAAATCTATAAAAATATGACTAGACTTTTCACAGCAGAAATGAATAAGAGATGTCCATCCTCCTAGGAAACTAGCAAACAACTGAGACATGCTGGGTAAAGGAGGGGTTTTCCTGGGGCTGACTTACAAGTTTTTGTTTGCCAGTATCCAATCAATCATTCTGTAAACAGCAGCAGTATAACCAGACTGTATCTGAGTTCATGTATCCCTCAATCGAGAAGAGAATGGAAAAAGAACTAAATTGCAAACCGTCTCAACCAAACACCAGCACCTGAAGTTCCCAATGTAAATATGCAAAAGTGTATGTTTTACTGCATACTACACAGTTGTGCTGATGTCAGCAACAATGACTTCATCTTTTTAGAAATATAAACTACAGAGGGATAACAGCATGCTTAGATTTATCTTTCTGAAAAATGTTGGTGCTGGCCTATTTCCCGGATTCACCATTGGTGATCTGTGCTTCCCACTGCTGCCTTGTAGTTCAAGTGACATTTAAGTCTATTCATTTTTCATGCATGACCTTTAGCTAAGAGAAGCAGTCATTTATACCTAAAACTTATGTTTAAAGAAACACCAGAAGTAAAGACTAAAAGCTACAGGCATTACCCAGGAGACGGGAAAGGTCTGTGGGCTTTTAGGGGTTTATTGTAGATGCCAAGAAACCAATAGGGAAACCTTTTCGGGAGAAACAGCTCTTCACCATAAGGACATTCTCCTTCTCTGTGTGTATTCTCTCTGTGTAAAGATGCTTCCCAATATTGAGGTATCAGTATCTACCTTGATCTCTAGTGTCAATCATACTAGTGTTCTATACAGTAACAGGGCACAAAATGTCAGCTGTGACAGAACTAAGAATAACACAAGACTAATGCATGGGTGTCAAAGACAAAAAGCACCCTTAATGTATTCAACTTCTATCGGCCTACATTTTATTTGAGAGTGGCATGGCTGTTTTAATCCTTCCGCACTCTAAATTTAAAATCTAACCCTTAAACTTAACCTCTAACAGCAAGGTAAATAAGTCAAGACACCAGATTAGAGACACAGTTTTGCTGAGAAACCCATAGATCAAGCATTAAGGCTGGGTTCGTGCTGCCGTGCTGTGTTAACTGAATTTGAATGCCTAATGCACCAAAAAAGCTGCACACACTATTCCTTGTAATGCAGTGCCCCACAATGCATGGTAGTGCGTTGTAGTACCCTTCAACACAGGTGTGTTGGGATAAACTTAAGAATGAAAGGCACTTCAGCGCGCATATGTGCATAACTGTGTGCTACAGTGTGGACCCAACCTAAAACCGAAAAGCACCATAAAACCATGCTCTAAAACAGGGGTGGGGAACCTCCAGCTGTGGTGAAACTACAAATCCCATGATGCATCTGTCTCTTGGAATCATGCCTGTGGCTGTGAGAATCTTGCAATGACTCATGGGATTTGTAGTTTCACCACAGCTGGAGGGCCAGAGGTTTCCCACCCCAGCTCTAAAATAAGGTCACAAGATCATGTTGTTTGACTGTTTCAAAACATTCAAGTGATATTAAAGTCAAAAGGTTTTTAAGCTATTTCAATTGCTGCCTAACTCACTTACAATGGATGCTGCTCCTGATGTTTAAAAGTTTTAGCTTCCTACAAAATCTGCTAGTCCACGGAGTATTGTCCCCTTTCTCTTGCAGGGTCCTATGGAGCAACCTTTGTGCACAACCCCCCCCAAGCCATTCCCCTGCTTTCTGCTCCCCGTTCCTCCCTCTTTCCTTCTGTTCCTTGTTGTGATCTTGTACTGGACATGAAGTTTAGGAAGGCAGAGCTGATAGAGTTGGAGCCAGCTGTTTGTAAAACATAACTAAGTGTTTGGGCAAAAATTTAAAGAAATACTGTGCTGGGCAATGTATATTTGTTTGTGCTGGATTCTTTATTAAAAACGTTTGAGAGTTTCTTTCAGCATAGGAGGGAAAGCTGCAGTTTTATGTTGGCAAACATGTTATATAGACGCATGATACTAGGGGATATGTTCTGCATAACACGCATGAAACAAGTAGATATTATACTGTCAATCAGCTTCTATGGATAGAGGTAGACAGGCTAATGTTACTCTAGGGTTCCACCTCCAATGCATACTATAAACTGTGAGAATACTATAGATGAAAACAATTGCCTCAACTTTCACATTAACCCCTTGAAATCCATGAACTGAAGATTTGATATGTTACAGGGAGAAATTGAGAAATGTACCTTTTTCCAGACTTCCTCCTGAAAAATAGCAGAGCGCTTCCTGTTATGCGAGTGTGTCTGGGCACCCTCGTGCCTGCAGCCTTATAGCTGCATGTAATGCAATGCGAGATCTAAGTGCTGCTGCCTCTGACTGCTAGTCTCATGAGATTTGAAGTGAGATAATAGGGATATCACTACTTTTCTGCCGCTCTTGTTCTTGCTGGAGACTCGGACATCAGAAAACAAAGCCCTGCCTCTACCAAGATGGCCACCTCCACACAGAGCAGATCGAGGCATGGTAAGTCAGTAATGGGAAAAGATTGGATGCAGGGAGATCACAGGCAAATACTGGTAACTAGTCATATGGATCTCTGCCTGCTCTTTCTTTGGACACGGCTTTCAGAGTTCAGTTCCTCTAACATGGATCAATCATAACATTTTAAATTAAGAAGAATTGTTAATCACAAATAAAGTAAAGTCTAAAAAAGCAAATTAAACTGCATACCAGTCACATAACTAAAAGCACTGAATCCTTTGGCAGCAGCATGAATTCTAAGAGAATTAAGAGCTTACCTTCTCTCCTTTGTTTTTGGAATCTTCCTTCTCTTTCTTTCTTGCCGCTACCATAAATTCACCATATAAGGTTTCTCGATCTTTCATTTTTTCAATGGCTTTAAAACGGAGATCTTTGGCATGTTTGGCTGCAAATTCACTAAAGGTCATTCTGTAAAAATGCATCTCATCAGTGTCCATACCAATAGTATACAAAAAAATGCATTTAAATCAGCTGTTAAAGCATTTGTAGTTAGAAGTTTGTGAACAGAAAACAAAATGTAGAGTAGAATAAGGGAAGAGCCAAAGAGACCAAACACCTTTCAGCAAATTATTTCCAACTTCTGCAAAGACAGAAGTTTACTGTCCAAACAATGAACAAAATGTTAACTCCTGCTCACTCCTAACATTAATAGTACACACGTATTCCTGCATTTTTTTTATATGTTGTGGAATGCAACCTTAGGGAAAGATTTGAAAAAATTTGCTTCATGTAGGTAAAACCACAGCTCTTCAGACACAAATCCACCATTTTAATTTGGAGATCTGTCAGTGCAGCACCTTACAAGTACCTTGATGAACGGTATACACTAAAGAACAGGAAAAAGTATGATTTTTGTACTTTCTATAACCTCTTTTCCTTGGATTTTACTGAGCGACAAAGGGATTCCATTACAGTCAGGTTATACTGCTGCCTACAGAAGGTCGGGACACTGGCAAACAGAACAAGTTGTGAGCCAGTCTGTGTATAACTCCTCCTCTACCCAGCATGCCTCAGTTTTGTGAGAAAACAATACACAAGGCCAGAGAAACACACAGAGGAAAGATTTATTTTTTTGGCAAGTACAAAATTTTTATTTTTTTTATCATCCAATGAGGGTCACAGGAAATCTATTACAGTTGGGATGTCCAAATGAGAGGTGGGCAACAGCTACTGATGGGAACATCCATGACCGGGGGCCAACCTGATGTTCCAGAACTGGAAAAGAAAACTACCACCAAGAGAAAACTCCTGACTGAAGGAGCAAATGGGCTCCTGCAAGTGACAACTGGAGAGCCGACCAGTGACCCACCAACAGGTGATGGACATTCTATTAAAAATGGGATGAAATGCAGTCCAACAACTGAGGTCAACAGAAGAAAACCAATTCATCAGGTCCAAACACAGGAAAAAAACAATTCTTAAAGTGACACTAAACTCTGGAGTTAAATCCTAAATATACATTCAAGTATCATGTTAACAAAACTGTACCTTATTTGTGTATCACTCAACTGTATATCCTCAAATCATCTCTGAATTCATGCTGACACTGTCCTTCCTTCTGGAGGGTGACTTAATGCTCCACATGGTCCCTGCGTGTGTTGCAAGGTAGCCACCACTCCAACCTCGCTCATGTGATGGACTATAATCTCATGTTTAGTTTACCAACTTGTATTGAGATTGGAGTCCAGGAGAACTCCGGCTTTACACTATCCCCCACAGGGGGTATCTGTGAAAAGGATCCCAGAGCGTTCCCCCATTTTGACAGTACAGGGGAGCACATGGCAAGCCAGCAATGGATACCACATGACAAGCAGGAACAGAGAGGCACACAGGTGTTGAATCGCCTCAATGGAGAGATCATCCGCTGAGGAAATCCAAAATAAAAAGCCTTGCTACCCACAAAAGCAGTGTGGAGAAGAGGGGGACACTTAGCATCACCCATAGTAGATGCCAGACCTTCCCAGAGGAGAAGGTTTTCATTCAGGAAACTCCATCAATTTCCAAAATTGAAAGTAAACATCAAATTAAATTTGATTCATCAAGTCTCTGAAGACATTACTGAGTGAACTGATGAATGTTCGTACAAAAATCTACCATTGTTTGGCCAGTTTTACACTGATAAAATGTCACATTTAAGAGATGTCCAATGTCCGTTGGACACTCACAGAAGCATCCCTCGATGAGGGGGGGGGGAAAGTCTGCTTTGGTGAACCAGATAAAATTCCATGGGGTGGGGATACAGACAGAGAAGCATTCCTAGATAAACAAAAAGGTACCCCTCAACCCCACTAGAGACAACAAGGCATCTTGATTGAAGGCATCAAGGTAAAAAACCTCCAGCAGTGTAGCACAATAACAAAATCTTGATTGAAGTCACAAACATTAGAAGTCATACAAAAAGATTAGTTAAGACTTATTCAGTGGAAGAGAAGAAAAGGTGCCCAAACTCCTGCTGGGTAGAGGAGGGGTTATTTGGGGGATGGCTTACAACTTTTCCCATTTGCCAGTGTCCCAACATGCTGTAGGCAGCAGTATAACTCAACTTAATAGAATTCCTGTGTCCCTCAATGGACAAGAAAGAAAGAAAAGACACACGACATGGCTGTTGTGTGTCATTCTAGGTCTCTTCTGCTTACGTCGGTCTGTAATGGTAGAGTAATATCTAATCTTCATATCAAGTAATTGGGCTTTACCTAGTATTTGAATATAGAAACTGCCTAACAGAGAAACAAAATTAGCAGTGGCTGGCAATTTAGATAAGTGTTAACTTAAGCTTCTCAACTAGTCCAAATTTGAAAGTCAGTACACCCAGTGCATGCCGAGTCATTGATATGAATAGTGTAAATTAATTCACCCCTTACTAGATAGGAAAACAAAGCAGCTTGTGAGATGACTGCAAGTCAGGGACCCTGCTAAAGAATGGATGGTCCTGAGACTTCTAGACTGCCATTTCCTATAATCTATCATCTGTGCATTTAAGATGAGTGTACAATCTTAGCGTGCCTTGGTGCTGGGTAAAATTAGCTCCAATGTGCGTGCGTGCATGCATGCATGCTAGTTACATCATCCAGGGCTGGCCAATGATGCCAAACCAGGAATAAGACTGGGTGAAGATGGAAGTTACAAATGTTAAACTGGTCTGACAGCATTTATGGTGAGTGTCACTCTTTGACTAAAGTTATGTTTCTGTGCTCTA